ACAATGCAGATTAAAAGAAGAAAACTTGAATATCTGACAACAGAAACTATCTAAAAATGAAAGATTAGAGAGAAAAAAAAGACTGAAACAAACACAGAGCGTCACTTTGCTCTGGGACAACTTCAAGTGACCTAAAATATGTGCAATTTAAGTTCCCAAAGGGGGAGGGGACATACAAAAAGAAATAACGGGAAAAATTTTTCCAATTTGATGAAAGCTAAAAATCCACAGATTCAAGAATCTCAACAACTCCTAAGGACATAAATCATGAAGAAAACTAAATAAAAGCTCATCATAATCAAACTGCAAAAGACTAGTGATAAAGGAAAAAATCTTAAAAGCAGTCAGAGAAGAAGTCAGTTCTAATGTAGAAAGGAATAAAGACTTAAAATGACAGTAAGCTTTTCACTGGAAAGAATGCAAGCCAGAAGACAGTGAAACAAAACCTTTAAGATATTGAAAGAAAAGAGCAATCAACCTAGAGTTCTCTATCTGGCGAAAATATCTTCCAAAAATTAAGTCAAATATACATTTAAACACACAAAAGCTGAACGAACTGATTACCAAAAGACTCACGTACTATAAGAAATGTAAAAGAAGGAAGTCCTTCAGACAGAAAAAAAATGAGACCAGATGGAGGTCTGGATCTACACAAAGGAACGAAGAGCACTGGATTTGGTAAAAACGTGAGTAAATAAAAAATGAATCTTTTCTTACTTTTTAAATGTCTTTAAAAGACAAATTACTGTCTAAAGAAAAATACTAACCATGTTTTGGGGTTTGTAACATATGAGAAAGTAAAATGTATGATAACAAATGTCAGGATGAGGTAAACGAAAGTATACTATTGTAAAGTTCCCATACAATAGACAAAGTGGTACAATATTAATTGAAGGCAGCCTACGATAAGTTAAAGGTGTATACTATTAACTCTAAAGCCACCACTAAAAAAAAGGACATACAGACAGAACAAACAGAAAACAAAGAGCAAGATGACAGACTTGAATCCAAACACATCTTTAATCACACGAAATGCAAATGATCTAAACACCTCAATTAAAAAGCAGAGATTATCAGACTGGATTAAAATACAAGACCCAACTATATGCTGCCTACAAGAAATCCATCTCAAATATGAAGACATAACAGATCAAAAGTAAAAGGTAATATCATGTTAACAGTAGTCAAAATAAAGGTGCAGCAGGGGCCAGCCTGGTGGCGTAGTGGTTAAGTTCACACACTCCACTTCAGCCGGCAAAATGTTTGCAGGTTCAGATCCTGGGCGTGGACCTAGCACTGCTTGTCAAGCCACACTGCGGCAGCATCCCACATAAAACAGAGGAAGATTGGCACAGATGTTAGCTCAGCGACAATGTTCCTCAAGCAAAAAAGAGGAAGATTGGCAACAGATGTTAGCTCAGGGCCAATCTTCCTTGCAAGAAAAAAAAGAAAAGATGCAGTAGGTTTATTAATATCAGACAATGTAGATTTTAGAGCAAAGGATATTAACGTGGATAAGAAGGTCACTTTGTAATGAATGATAAAGGGGCCAAATCATCAAGAGGACCTAACAATCCTAAATGTATTCAATAGATCTTCAAAAAATATGAAGTAAAAAAATGAAAGAATGGCAAGGAAAAAAACAGGCAAATCTACAATTATTGGTGGAGATTTCAACAGCAATCTTTCAATAATTGATAAAACAAGTAGATAAAAATCAGTGAAGATACAGAAATTCTGAACCACACTATCAGCCAACTTGATCTACCTGACATTTACACAACACCCTATACAACACACTGTACATTGTTTTCATGTGCACAGGGAACACTTACCAAGATAATTCATACCGGGCCACAAAACAAATCTCAATAAATTTAAAACAATTCCAATTAAACAAGTACATTCTCTGACCACAACAGACGTAAATTAGAAATCAGTAACGGAAAGATGTCTGGAAAAATCCCCAAATATTTGGAAACTAAATAACACACTTCTCTAAGATTTAATGAAAAACTCTGCCTGTTTTGAAGAAATGGTACATTTCTTTCTCTTAGATTATGACTATTATATAAGCGACATAGTTTTTGCCTTGGCTATCAAGAAGCTTAGGGCTAAACAAAAAGTTTAAACACAGTAATCGTATCAACTCTTTTTTTTTTTTAAGTTTTTTTTTTTTTTTTTAGGAAGATTAGCCCTGAGCTAACATCTGCCACCAATCCTCCTTTTTTTTGCTGAAGAAGACTGGCCCTGAGCTAACATCCCTGCATGCCTATCTTTCTCTATGTTGATTGTGGGACACCTGCCACAGCATGGCTTCATAAGTGGTGTGTTGCTCCACACCCGGGATCCAAACCCACGAACCCCAGGCCACTGAAGCAGAGCATGTGAACTTAACTGCTCCACCACCAGGCCAGCCCCCATATCAACTCTTAAATCATTCATTCATTCAACTCAGATGATGTTTAAACACAATAATCATATCTAATCTTAAATTAGTCATTCATTAAATCCAGTTTAAGCATCTAGGACGTGATTTTATAGAATCTAGTGATACAAAGTGAATACAACACAGACCTTGCTCTAAAACTCAGTTTTATGGTCAGGTCTAGTGAATAGAATATTTTTAAACCTCTATTGTTTTCATTTATTGAAAATCTCTACCTTAACAGCTCCTTTTAAAAATGCATCCTTTCTTTAAAATTGCTTTTAATACTTTCTAGAAACAGCTGTTAGCCCCTTGCCATATCCAACTAAATAATCATACACAAAAATTTTAATATTAGCCTAGCTTAAACATAATTCAAAATGTATGAAACTACAAAAAATTATAATACTCTTACAAGGGCAAATAATAAGTTTTTTGCATGATTTATTAGCAGGGACCCCCTCTCTTAGAGTGAATAAGCTAAAGTTGACTGTCTTTAAACAATCATTGGCAACAATCTAAGAGTTTTGACATCAAAGGAACAAACAGCTCAACAGAGAGGAAACTAGCGCTCTAGCTGGTGAAGGTATCCTCTGAGAGAAGAGGGAGCTCAGGAGAAATGGAACAGCGCCACGGTGACACAGCAGAGCTGCACTCAGTGAACCCAGGGGAAGTCTGGGCTGGAGACTGGCCTCCACAGTATCCAGCCTGGGAAGAATCTGGACCTCAGGTTCCTCCTCTGTAAGACGTGGGGTTACAATAGACGATCTGTAAGGTATCTTTCAGTTCCACAAATCTGCGAACCTAATTTGGTTGGAATATCTTAGAAAACATCCCAAGAGGGAGCTCTATTGTATCTCCTTACCAAAAGCTACTTGAGTTATTAAAACTAGACTTGATGATGCCATAAAACACATTCGAGGTACTGAACTAGGTTTGGGATGGAAGAAAAACTCTGGACTGCCCTAGCAGTTGGAAGACCTGAGTCTTAATTTTGGTTTAACCTTACTAAAAGGTATAACCAACTGCAATTTAATTGCTCTGAGTCCTAGTTTCCTAGATAAAAGATGCAGAAATATATACTATGCAAGCGTTAGGAAAAGGGATTGAATTCTCACCGGGTATAGACAGCTAGGAAGGCATCTTGGGGGAGATAACCTTGCCAGAGGGATGAGCAACGCTAACAACTCATATGAAGGCTGCATGGCATAGTAGAGAACATGGGCTTTTGGAGTCAGATGGATCTTGTTTTAAATTTTGGCCCTGACTCTTCCGACTGTGTGACCTTGGACAATTCAGCTTTCTGAGTCTCAGTTCTCTCAAATATAAAATATATAGGCTTACTTTGTAGTTTTAAGAATTAAAGATAATAGTTATAGAGCATCTAGCATAATACCTGGCATATTATGAGTAGTCGCCATTCAAAAAATAAAAGCTTTCATTATGAAGGGCCTAGAGACTGAAGATAAAGGGCATGACAGAAAGCAGCAGACAGGTAAAAGAGAAGATGTGGCTTTACAGGTAGGCAGGGGACCATCTGCAGAAGGTCTGACCAATTTGTGGGGAGGGTAAGGACTGAAGCAGGCCTGACCAGTTTGTTAGCTAAAAAATCCAGTGCTGGAAGACAGGTTCTATGGGGTGGGACTGGAGGTCACATAGGGTGCAGTCAGAGGTGCAAGTCAAGAGTCCATGAAGGAAAGCTGAGACAAAAAGATGGGGAGATCAAGCACCAACAGCAAGTGCCAGAGACTAAATCCAAAGAGGCATGGAAGGACTGGATCTTGGAGGATGGCAGGGGTGGGGTGTGGATTACAGATAGGATGGAAACAAGTGAAGATCCTCTTAGGTAATTGCCTAGAATATTCCTGAGTTACGGCAGTGGGATTCTAGTGGTGGATGTGGTGCTGAGGTACTTCAGGATGCTGAAAAAGGTCAGAAGTGAGGCAGATATGTTAGGCTTTATGTAGCACACAAGTGGGGATGGGAGCGCAGGTAGTGCCAAGACAGTGACATGGTCAGATCTGTGATTCAACTCTGGTAGCAGAGAAAAAGTACACGGGAGAAGAAAAAGACTGAAGGTACAGTGAGAAAGTGATTATAGAAGTGCAGGTAGGAGGCATGTGAGCCTGATATAAGGTCAAGGCAACGACAATGACAATAGAAAGGAAGTGACAAATGGACATATTTCAGGGAAAATTTCTGACAGGATACAGTGACTTACAGGATGTGGCAGATAATGGAAAAAGAGCAGTGAGTAACTACTAAGGTTCTGAGCTGCAAAACCAGGACAGTGATGCCATTTAGCAGGGAACACAGAAAGAAGCGTAGGTAACCAGGATGAGAAGACTCACAATGCAAAGAGCTTACAACTGACCATTCTAAGGCATAAGTAAAATATCTTCAGGAGTCTGAACGTCACAACAGGGCCACAGATTCCACCACCTACCACCCGAACTTTAAACCACTTCCTCTCCTCTTCCACAATCCCTGTGACTTAAGCTAACAGCAGGGGAAGAGAAAGCAATGAGTATCAAGGATTTCATAAATTTCATAAAATTTATCCAGCACTTACCTTTACAGCTAATATTTTCCCACTTGGGACATGATAGGCTCTATGGGAGAAAAAAAATAACAAAATCACTTGGGATCCCTAAACAACCTACAAAATGGTTAAGGACACAAATACAAATCTGCAGCAATGGGATCTGATACTTTCAAAGAACACTAATAACATTAGTAATTTACATTTCTATTGAGCTTAATGGTTTACACAGTGATTCATTATACATTACCTTAAAATAACCCTCTGAGGTAATGCTGGCATTATCACCCTCCTTTTATAGATTCTGAAGCACAGAGAAGTTAAGCAGTTTGCCCAACGGCACAAAGTCAGTAAGTTGCAGAACTAGACTTCAAACCCAAGTCTTCTGGCTCCAGATCCCTTATGAAGACTGTCACTGGGTGGAGGTGGGGCAGGGGGGGGGGGGGGGGGCAGTCTTCTAGAGCCTCTGCTAAGCTCTGCACAGAGCCATACAAAACGGGAAGTTTTCCTTTTATTTCAATTATAGATCCAGATAAACTACATCCCTACATTTCATCAAAATAATCTCAAAACACATGGAATTAGCTATGGCTTAAGATATAAATTCATATAAGAAATCACAGAGTTATTAGGCTCAAGTATGTGGTTCATCTTTTCCTAAAGGTGGTATCTCTCAATATTAAAAATGCTGTAGAGAAGACACAAGTTCAAATGATCAGATACAGAGAAATAACTACAATTTAAAACAAGGTATATGAATACATTCACTTATGAAAACAAGTAAGAGAATAAGGTTTGCAGAAATAAAACACTATCCCTTCTCATCACAAGCTTTTGTGTTTAAATGAAAAGCGGCCTTTCATACATGTACTGCAAGGACTGCACATTCTGACCATTATCCAGAAACAATTTGCCATATTTAAAAATTTCAAAACTAGCCATGCAACATAAACAAGCACTGTTATTACAAGCCTATAAAAGTATAAAGACACAAATTAGTTTGGAAGAACTAAAATCTTGCTCCATAGAGGACTCTGTATATCAGCAAAGATCAGATTGTTCTCCCCTCGCCCACCCAGCTTTAAGACGTGAGTAGGGTGGAGAAAACGCAGGGAATGGAAGTTAGCTTCTCAGGAATTTTCCCACCTCACCTGTCAAGTTGCAAAATATATTTATCAGGCTCCCAATTTTTACTTAGTAATGACTTAGTAGTAAAAATTGCTCATTCCTTAAAACAAAAACGAAATATATATTCTACTGTTATCAAATGAAAACATCACTTTCTGTTGTTTTGGCAGAAATATTTGTGTGGCTACTCTGACAAATTTTTTTAACAGCTTTAAAATTCACTTCAGTGATCAATTCAATGATTTTTAGTAAACTTGCAGAGTTGTACAATGACTGACAAGTGTTTTCATTTATTTTTTACTTCTTTGCTGAGGAAGATTCTCCCTGGGCTAACATCTGTTGCCAATCTTCCTTTTTTTGTATGTGAGCCGCCACCACAGCGTGGCCACTAGCAGACAAATGGTGTGGCTCTGCATCCCAGAACCAAACCTGGGCCATGGAAGCAGAGTGTGCCAAGCTTAACCACTAGGCCCCAAGCATTTCAAAGTGACTGACTTACTGAAATGGTTTAGTTATTAAGAACCTACAAATATTAGCAACTTTTCAAATATAAAATGTTACAAATTCAGGTAAGTTTAGAAAAAAATATATACCACATGTATGTATGTTTATATCCATATATATGAGTGTTATAAGAAATTCATTCTGTTTTTCCTACTAGAGTGGACAAAGGTCAAGCCAATCACGGACGGTAAACTTAGCTTTTATTTTAACAATCAATTGTAGAGAAATTCAGGTAGTTTTATCTCATTTACAGGAAAGGCAAGATTATAAAAATTAGATGGCAATTATTCACTTTACCAAAGAGTTCTTTAATCTGGAAAGTGTCTAAAGTCTTTCTCTAAATATCAACCTCCTTAGTATATATAAAGACTAATACATTTATAAATCTTAAATTATTTAAAATTTTGTCATACTTTGTATAAAGTGATATACATTTTATAACTGGAACCCCTATGTTACACTGCTTACTCTACTAGCTGTGTTAATACCAGACTTGTACAATGTGAAGCTACATTTCAGGTCGTGATTTGACTCATGATATATCTGAACTCACGTAATAAATTGGTAGATAGACTCATTGTATTTTTCTCAATGCCTGACAGAGAAGTTGACAGACTAAGCTAATCGAAATGTGATTCAAAGGAATTTAGTAACTTTATTCCATGTAAATACAGGTAATATAATGTGTAAGATTTAATGATACATTATTTTTCTCCTTGTATACCACTGACTTTTTCCAATTCCAACTTTTTAAAATACCATATATTAGAATCACTAACCAAGGACTGAAATATAAAGATAAATAACTGAGTGCATACACAAGGATTCAAAAGTTGTAAAAAGAATAGTGTTGTCAGACAAAGAGAACAGTTTAGTGGTTACTAGAGGAGAAGGGGGTTGGAGGTTGGGCAAAAGGGGTGAAGGGGCACATATATATGGTGACTGACTAAAAATAATGTACAACTGAAATTTCACAATGTTATAAACTATTATGACCTCAATAATAATAATAATAAAATAACAGTGTTGTTACTCTGGAGAACGAGCAACACCTGGACTTTTGAGACCAACAGCAGCGATAAGGAAATGATTAGCAGATAGTCTAATATATATACCATATTGGACAGTTTGGCAACTTAATTAGCTTGTCAAGAAAGCTGATCTCTTTTCCAAAAGAAAGGTCTCCTATTTCCAAGTGAATTAAAAGGGGAGGCTTGATGATTTAATTATGATGCACGCTAATTCATCCGTGGAAGTTTGGGTTCGATTTCGAGCAATAAAGATGCTGTGTGGTTTGGTTTACAGTACAATGACAGTACCAATTTAACATTTAATCATCAAGGAGAAGTGGATGACAAAGGCAATGCCAGGTATGAGTGCAGTATGTCCCTTAACTTTGCAAATGGCATTCTACTTGGAGAAAAGGAATTTGTTTACTTTCAACGGATACCGCATCTCAATTGTCTTGACCTTCCTCAACACATTAACTGTAAAGTGATTAATGAAGTTTGAACGGAGGCTCTGGTTACGCCAAAAGACAACTACACACCTTTGCATTGTTTTAATTAACAGCTAACACTTCAAATTAGTTTGTTGTTGCCACAGTAATTACCTGTTCCAGTGAGCGCATGGAGGAACCATTTTTATGAGATATTTTTAGTGTGGAGTCCTTGAGTGTTCCATTTTGTTTGTGATCAGTACAGACCTTCTGGGAATAGTCCCAGCCCTTAAATTGAGTACACAACATATACACTTCAGGATGGCAAAAGCTGGTAGCCTGGCGTAAATTTTTTGAGTATTTAAAACAACAAAGAGACCAGTAAAAAAGAAGAATCCTTATTATTCATACTTTCTTACATTCTTTTTTCATTTGGAACAATAGGTTCTAGATGACAGACAAAAAGTTGGTATCAACCTTTAATTCTGATACAGAACAGAACCAGGTAATTATTGAGCTAGTAGGGAATATAGAGAATTGTCTAGTTTAATCTCTTCCTTTTACAGTAGAAACAGCCAAAAGCCAGGTTAAAAGATTTGTCCAAGCTCACAGTTAGTCAAAGGCAAAGCCAAGACTAGAACTGTGGCAGAATATAGATATTTTAGGACCTAAAGAAAAGATGTGGTGATGTTCCAATTTTCCTAACTGTGTTCTAGAGCAGGGAAACACACAATTCAAAACTTACAAAAGTGCTGCCATACTTCAATCAGGCTAAAGACCATCACAACCAAATCTCTCTAAGCAAGGAAGCATTCTGCACTCATCACCAATCTATCATGGGACGCAGAATATTGACAGCTGTAGACTCTGAAGTCACTGTCAGGTTCTGATCCCAGCTCTGCCATTTCTCAACAGTGTGAACCTGGACTGTTAGAAAACTTCACTGTGTCTCAGGTGTCTCAAGTTTGAAATGGGGAAAATGGTGCCCACCTTATAGAGTTATGAGGTTTCAATGAGATAATTTAGGTAAAGCACTGAGGACAGGGTGTGGCACACAGTAAGTACGCATAAAATATTAGGAAACAAAGTTTTCAGGGTAGCTAGGTGTTTTAAGAGTAAATCCTGCTAAAACAGAGTGAAAGAGCAAGAATTATCTCTATGTTTTAAGAGTCAGGCTATGTGCTCAACAAATGAAGACCAATAAAGCTTTAACAATGAAGACTGGCAAAAGGCTGCAATATACTATTCATCGTTAAGAAAAGCAACTAGTATTACGTCATGTTGAAATAACTTTGAAGACAAAGAATTAGTCATTTGAAATGCTATGATCGTATCATGATTCAAATTCTAGATTTCTCACCCTGTTTATCCTTTGCCCACTGTTGTAACTTATTTACACTACAGACAGGTACGATACGTGCCACATCCAAGCATTTGTCTTGGCAGAAACGCCATCTGACCACCACTGTTGCTAAACAAGAAGCCTAATTTTTCACTCTCCTTGCATTAGTAAATGGGAAAATAGAAGCTACCCTAAAAAATCCACATACTTCCCTTTAATATACACCCTTGTAGATTCTATAAAAAATAAAATTTTGAGGCTTCTCCTAGTCTTCAGACTCTGGTGGCTCTGTTATAACCCCTAGCACACTGCAGAAAAATTGTCCACATGTCTGTCTCCCATACTGGGCAGTGAACACTACCATGTCTTAATCATCTTGTATTCTTCACACTTTGCATAACTCCTGGCTCATGGTAAGTGCTCCATAGTTAATAAATGTTTGACAAATGATTATTACTTCTGGATGAAAAAAAATCTATCACTTGGATAGTGTCTAACAAAGAAATTCCACATGCATTTAATTAACTCATTCCAAAATCTTATGAGTAGTTTTTTCCCCAGCCTTATTGAGATATAACTGACATATAACATAAGTAGGAATTATCAACATCATCTCCATTTTATAGGTAGATTTCTAACTGCTGAATTCCAAAGTCCT